TAAGTGCAATTACTATTAGGTATATATATGGATATTTAAATATCCATCTATATAAATATCCATGTAAACAAACTGGGCAATAAACCTGTTTAATAATCCTGCTATAAAAACAAAACAAGAAACAAACTGTCATATATGGACGCACTGTATATACAGTATAGATTCCATGCACCTTTTTCTTCCTTTGGCACAGTCTTCTTCTCTTTTTGATTATTTGAGCTGATGTAACGAGTAAATATCTCCATTGTGATTTTAATAAAGCAAATCAATCAATCAATCAATCAATCAATCAATCAATCAATCAATCAATCAATCAATCAATCAATCAATCAATCAATCCACACACACACACACTATCTGATTATGCGTATTAAGGGCTATTGTTATTGTCATTACTTAACATTACATGCATTTGTATGGTGCCACTCTGTGAGAGTGGGGAGTACCAAGATGGCGTAAGGTGACTTTAGGTTTTTCGGTCTATCAGCAATCCAGTTCATAAATTGGTGGGATTCACAAAATCGACTGTTTAACTCTCTAGTGACCTCTAGCGGCAACTAGCTGTAACATCACCCCACAACATTTTTAAAAACTCACAAACTGCCAGAAAAATTGTTATATAAAAAGCTAAACATTTTAAAATAAAAAATCTCAAGTGCCCAGAACAGCTGCTGTGTAAATAATGGATAAATTATCATTAAGTTTATAGGTGTTTTGAATAACAGGCGGAACAAATAAACCTATAAATGTATTATCAAGCTGCGGCAATACATAAATATATTTGTTATTATAAAGCACTGTGAGACATTTATTTAAATGTGAATTTAAGAAATATTAAAGCACTTAAATAACTTTTTCAGCAATTATTTTAGTTTATTTTGTGTTAAGCTTTACGACCTGGGACCTATTAAACAGATTTTGAAAATGAATGGTTAACCTCCAACATATAATTTACTTCATAAAGAGTCGTAATCAAGATCCTAGACTTTTAAGGATAGAAAAGGTCCAGATCTACCAAATCAGACAAGACCGCAGGTGCAGACTGTGCAAAGAGGCCCCTAAGACAATCCAGCACATTACAGCAGGGTGGAAGATGCTGGCAGGGAAAGCTTAGATGGAGCGCCACCAAGTGGCTGGAATAGAATACAGGAACATCTGTGCAGAGTATGAGCTGGAAACCCAAAGGTCAAAGTGTTCTCCAGTGTCTGAGACAGGATGTCGTCTGTTGGAGCCTTGTCCTTGATGTACTTATGGATCTTGGATGTTTCATCCTGGATAGTGGCTCTTACCCTCATTAGTCCTCGGCCTCCTTCCTTACAGCTGGTGTACAGTCTCTGGATTTGGGGTGGTACCCTCCATACATGGTTAGGAGCCTTTGTGTCTTAACATCCGTGCCTTGTTTCTCATCCTTTAGCCAGTTTATTATTTCTGCAGGGTATCAGAGCATTAATTGCCTAAGACTTATTCTTGCCATTGACCTGCCTTATTCGATGGAGGTATTTGGCCGTAGCTGCTGTCCTCGTCACCTCTTCGAGGTTTCCATTTGCTTTTGGGATTCCAAGGTACTTATAACTGTCCTCAATGTCTGCTGTTGCTCCTTCTGGGAGTGAGACCATCTCTGTGTGGACTACCTTCCCTCTCTTAGTCATCATCTGACCACACCTCTCTAATCCCAATGACATCCCAATGACTGTGCTGTAGATTCGGGTGGTATGGATCAGAGAGTCAATGTGTCGCTCACTCTCAGCGTACAGCTTGATGTCATCCATGTAGAGGAGGTGACTGATGGTGGCCCTGTTCCTGAGTCGGTATCCATAGCCAGTCCTGTTGATTATTTGGCTACAGACCTATGCAGAACATCAGTGTAGCTCTATGCCACATTTGATGGCTATATATATATATATATCAGTACCAAGTTTTCTGCTCTAGTCCATCTATGTCTTGCCATCTAAGTAGCCAATTTGTCATCAAGTTGCCCTGGTTCCCTAGCAACTTACGCAGACCTTGTTAACCGGGCTCTTGTATTTGAGGTTTCACTCATGCCTGAGGTAGGCCACTAAGCACAAAGGACCCCGGTCACCTGTGCCGGAGTCGACGGTGTTACCTACCGAGCTATCCAGTTGAAAAAATGTGGTAAGTAAGAGCAGCAGTGGTGCCAGTGGTAATTGGAGCACTGGGGGCTGTGACCCCCAAACTGGGAGAGTGGCTACAGCAGATTCCAGGTAAAACATCAGAGGTCTCTGTCCAGAAGAGCGCAGTCCTAGGAACAGCTAAGATACTGCGCAGAACCCTCAAACTCCCAGGCCTCTGGTAGAGGACCCCAGCTTGAGGATGACACATACCACCCCACCAGGGGGGAGAAAACAGTTTATATATATATAAATAGCAGGACTAGAGCAGAAAACTTGGAACTGATAAAATGCTACTGGGGTGTTTAATCATATTGTATCAAAAAATATGTCTGTTCATTACATTGCTTAACGCACTCATTTGACCTCCATCCAGTAGGGGGGATCAGATCCACCTTTTGTTTTCCACCTAATTCTTTGTTCCACCTGCAGTATATTAATCTCAGTGCTTCCCACCACTAGTTACAACTGAGTAAGCCTCTTGGACGATATAGGAGCTATTTTTCCATTTTCAGTTAAATCTTACAATTTGGATTATTTAGCTACATTTGTCTCCGTCCAAGTCTCAGTCCAAGTCTCAGTCCCAGTCCCAGTCCCAGTCTCAGTCCCAGTCAGCCAGTTTTGTCATCAGTCGTCAGTCTGCCAGTCAGTCAATCAAAGAACAGGTGCAGGAATCAGAATAAGAGCATTAACAAAATCCTGTGACGCCTGTAACCTGTTTTGTCTGAGCGGAGGATAAAACAAACAACTGGATTTTGACCTTTTTTGATCTTTTGGGCTGCATAAGCCACAATCCACGGTGCATCAGGTGACTATTTGAGTTAAATTCACCTTTTGCTTTGATCACCTTTAAGTCTTAAGTTTTTAGATTTTTGAATTTGAGCTTTGTGCAAATAGTCACCACAGATGAGAGGAGAATCGTCTTCTAGAAAACTTCACGTCCAGCTGCCTAAACTAAACTTTTCAGCTTGACCATAAACTGGACACAGATATATATAATCATTTATATCTGTATAAAAACTAACCTATTAAAAAAAGTTTGTTTTCTCACCCAGAGACTGATACCAAGACCAGATTTTGTTTCCTAAATAGGAAATGGTTGTAATAATCATGGGCGCTGGAACAGATATGCTTACTGATGGGTCCTTTGGATCCATTTTATTTTTATTTTCTTTAAAAAGAAATCAGTTTTACTTTTTTTTTTTTAAAAACAATAAGGTGATAGCTTCAGTGGGATTGAGATAGGATCCCAGTTTTCATCTGCTAAACGTTTTTTCAAAGCAAATAAAAAAAATACAATACTATATAATTTATTGTTTTTTTTTCTTGAGTTATAATTCTGATTTTATAGAAATTTTAACTCAAATTAAGGTAAAAATATGTAAAATAATGAATGTATATTGACCTAATATTCCAAATAACAGCTTTATTTGATCTTTTAGATATTTATATAGCTACAATTTTTTGAGTTTCCTTTTTTCTATACCAAGGGATTTTTATTTGGATTTTAACAATAATCCAAATGAATATTTTTAAGCCAAAAATAGATATTTTCAGTTGGAAGACATAATTTTAACTAAACCTAATTGAATGGAAATTTCACTTCATCAAGCTGTCTAGTTCTAGGGAAGCGGCTGTTCCAACGTTTGCATTTCCGAATTCTCCCGAGTGGTGCACGACTTTACACGAGTGAATAAAGTGAATGTGATTGGTCGATTATCAAAGTTGCAAGCAAGTTTGATTGTGGCCGGTTTGTTGTTGGAAGCATCGTTGCTAACCAGTTAGCATCTTAGTGCTAGCAGGTTCCCAATGGGAAATTCCATTGGGACCAAGTA